AGAAAAACGTTTAAAGCACATAAAATCATATTAAAATATATACTAGTATGTTCTGTATTTACAGTACATGCATTCGTAAATTTAGAATACTTTTTTCTGTACTATATTAAAAACTAAAATTTATTTGTTTGTAAGCTTAAAATAGATTTTTATTAACCATATATTATTAAAAATGCATTAATAAATAAAATACAGAACCGGGAATGGTAATTTATGGTTTGGCCTAGGGACAAATAGATTCGGAGACAAGTAAATTCGACTTATGTCGTTCTCCTGGAACCAATTACCGACGTAAGGCGAGGTATACCTGTATTGTTGTCTTCTGTTTTTAACTAATCTAGCAATCAGACTTTTGCTGTAGCCATGAGCTTCTGCTAATTTTTTATCTGCCTTATCTCCTTCATTGTGTCCATAATATTAGAGCAGTGAGTTTGTACAAGTGTTTTAAACACTGCTATTTTACTGATCACTAGAACTGAAAGGAATGAAAACGGAAGGGTTGCTCAGTTTTCGATAAACCTGTGTAACCACATGCTCTTCATAAAAAGTGATACTGAGGTCAAGGAAGTGTACATTCATATGGCTTTCCTCATGTAACTGACAAGACTATGTCTTGTTTATAAAATCGTACTGCCTGCTGGATAACCAGCTTAGAGGTATGAAGGAGTACATGTCAGGAGTTGCTATTTGGCACAGAGTATTTGGTGCCCAAATCATGCGCACACAAAAAAAACCAGACTTTTAGGTACTCAGGAGACCAAGAACCGAGTCAAAATAAAATAAAAAATGGCAACACTCTCTACAAACAGGCAGTAGTGCGAGATTTGTGCATGCATTGCTGGTTAGGAAGTTGGAAATGCAAACATTGTGAAAGTGAATTTTGACAAATGCGTGCATTGGGAAGTTCGAAATCAGAAATCAAATTTTGACAAATGAATCTTTGAAAAAACTCATTTACCTGTCCCGTGTTATTCCCACATATCTCTGGTTGCCATGTGCTGACCTTGACTGGTTGACCCAAGATATCTCGTTTCAGAATCAAAACATTTTTCAAAGTAGATGGCACCAGTCGTTATAATTTTATATTACAACTAACTTCCAAAATATAATTTTTTTCTTTTTACATTTATTAATGTATATATATTGTTTGTGCAAAATAAAAAAATAATTTCAGATGATACGATAGCCATAATTATTTTTTTAAAAAACAGGAAATTTTCGTTAGGCATCAACAAAAATTACACGGGGCAACATGCAACAGAGAGAAATTTCAAAATTGGATAGGTTAATTTCATCAAAAATGCATCATGGACAACCTTGTGATCGTGGCCATGGCCAGCAAAGTTTGAACAATTGTGCTCAAAACCAGCAATACCAAAGAAGATTGGAGAATGAGAATGAGACCCACCTTAAGTGTTCAAGTGATCCAGCTTAGTAGTGAGTCTCCAAGATATAGTATTGTCCCAAACACGGCTTTGCTGTTTTACTTGTTTTAATGTTAAACCATAGCTCTTGTCATTAAAAGTCTGTGTAACTTCATTAATATTTGGTTTAGTCTTCCAGATAATTAATATATCTTCAACATAATGTTTGTAAAGTATAATGTTATTCTTAAATATCCACAATTTACATATTTCAAATATATAAATTGCTAATTTCTTTTGATCATGAGGACATTTTTAAGAACAAGTTGCACGTGTTGTGACAGTGTGCAGCATCAATAACTAAAAAGTTATGCTCCTGAAGAACAAATCATTACAAATACAAACTGTTATTCTAAAATGTAAGTTGTCTATTTTATAAAAGTTATGTCTCCACATTAAGAAAAAAAAGTTAATTCTGTTCTCTAATTTAAGAAAATTTCAATGAGAAAACAATATGTCACTTTGTAAAAAAAGGCTAGCAGAAATTACAATTTAATAAAGTTTTACTTTATTAAATTGTAATTTCCACCAGCCCTTTTTACAAAGAAATGTTTTATTTTTAATTATGTTGGGATTATCTCCTGTGGACATTTTAGACTGTTTTATATATTTGTGCAGTAGTAGCCTACAAAGAAAGATCATCTCTGCAGTGAAGAATAGTTGTTCCTGGTAATTGGACATGGCAAGCAAGGAAGATATGTTTAGTATCTATAATGTAATTTTTACTTTATTAAATTACAATATGTCACTGTCTGCACATTTTCTGAGGACAACATTTTGACTACAACATTTCATTATTTTTTTTATAAAATAGGCATGTAACTTTGAATATACTTTAATTATTTCATTTTTACACTATTTTAAATTTTAGATCCATATAAATGATTATTAGATAACTAAACACTATATTACAGATTAAATATAAAATTTTATAAACAACAAACATTCAAGTAAAATAACTGAACAATTGAAAATAAACACTTCTAAAAAGAGGATATAAAAACAATATTACTTAAGTAAACCTCAGAAGCTGGAAAATACTATAAATACTCACAGACACCTGTACTGGTTCCAGAAGCTAAGTTTATTGGAAAAAAAATGAATGTTTTTGATCATTTTTAGAGATCTTCATCAGATCAGTATTATACATTTCCATAAATCAAATGATATTATTTGAACAACTTTTTTAAAATGGAACATTCTATACACCCATGTGACAATATTCAAATTCAAAACATATATGTGACACTAATCCAAACTCTCACCATAATTAATTGAACTTTGGGATGTTGATATATATATATATATATATAAATGTGACACACTTTAATGACGAAATATGCCATAACTGCAAAATTTTTTTATTTTTTGTTCACAAACATTTTAAATTTTTCTAGTTTATCTCCAATTGCATTATGAAAAGTTAGGTGCATACTTTTTCAAAAAGTTTCTTGTTATGTCATATTTCATCATTAAGTGCAGTACATCACATTTATGTTTTGAATTTGAATATAGTCATATGGCATATAGAATGTTCCATTTTAAAAAAGTTGTTTGAATAATACCATTCAATTTATGGAAACACATAATCTGACAAAGATCTCTGAAAGTGATCAAAAATATTCGGTTTTTCAATGAACATAGCTGTTGGGACCAGTATGAAAGATGCCTAAGAGTATTTATTTCCTTCTTTATAGTCAGAAGCATATGTTTACATTTCAGAGAAAGATGATGTGTCCATTTAGTGAATTTTTAAATCTGACATCTTTCAATCTCATTCTCTAAAAGGGTCCTTCAGACTATAAAAATACACAAAGTGTGGCTAGTAACAATTTGAAAGGAAAAAAAAAAACAGATTGAAATTTGATTTGTTTACATTTTCAGATCATATTAAAAAAATAATTATAAATTAATAATACTATAAATTTACAAGTGTTTTTTAATGTGACTACCAAATGGTAAACACATTTTTAATAATATTTATTAAAAACACATGTAATCAGTGTTGTTAACTTAAATTATTGATTTATTAAAAAAAAAACATTATTTAATTTAATAACAATAATAATAATTATTTACTTTATATAGTTTTTTATTTACAAACTAGCTTACCCATCGCGCATTGCTGCAATCTTAGAAGAAACGAAATTCAAGCAAACTCGTTATGATAAAATTAAATTTACATTTTATCATTTTTATTGAAACTTATTATTATTAATTTTCATCAAGAAACATTTCAAAGTGTCATTTCAATTCTATTTATTTATTGGAGTGCTTGTGAATACACGATAGTTTTTGTTTTTGCGTCTGGTACGTACACAAATAAATCAGAAGGTTTTCCGACACGTGAGCTGGCCACATACAGTTGTCCATGTGAGAAGCACAGATTCTTTAAATTTAGCCCACATACTCGCAGAGATTGTAGAAGTGCAATATCCCCATTTTTATATATATTTTTTAATCCTTTATAATTTTGATTATTTAATTGCTCCTTCCTCTCTTCCTTGGCATGTTGTGAAATTTCTGATAGTTGGATAATAAACCATTTTATTGTAATTTGTCTTTTTAAATTATTTTGAGTTGATATTAAAATTTGGAAAAGGGGATCTCTAGATCGGTAAAATAAGCAAATTTCCTCCTACAACTTCAGCTGTTGTTCGGGATACAGTTAAGGTTTTAACAAAGTTCGAGCGAATACATAATTAGCAAAAAAAAGTTGAAATAAAGTGATTAAACAAAAATTATTACAAATATCGTAAATAACAAATGCATATATAGAGATATTTTTTGGAGGGGGAAATGGTCTTCACAATTTGAAATTGATTGAACACACAGTAAAATGCTCGTACACACGCGCGCCATCTATCGTAGGATAAATGTACTATGCCAGAAACCTTCGCAGGAGTGTATTAAACAACTTCCCAAAGTTTCATGGCAATCGGATAAATGATGTGGTAATGCATGAGGAACAGACAGACACACACACACACACACACATTCATTTTTATACATATAGATATTAATTCTAAATAAATCAGAATTCTATTCTTATTATTCACAAAGTACCACATTTCTTTGATTATAAAATATATCATGAGTCTGAAATCAAATTTTAAGAACTCTTAATGGAAGGAAAAAATTTTAAATGACCAGTTTTAATTAATGCTGTTAAATTAAAACAAGTTAGATAAATAACACAAATGCCATAAAATAGAGCTGCCAAACATTTCCTATATCCATGCTATTCAGCATACAAAATAACTTTTCGTTAACTGTTGCAATACAATATAATCTTAAAGGCATTTTAAAATGTTGAACGAGTTTAAATTAAAAGCTAATTACTAGCAAAGCTTATTGAACTGATATGACCATTGAGCTGTATAATCAAAAACTTCAATTACAGGTACAATGCATCATATAGTCTACTGATTTGTGTTTTGAACTATAAATGTAAGACATCTCTATTTCAGACAAATAAAGTTTGTCTGAAATAGGGCAAAAATAAAAATATCTTATAATTGAGGAAATATGGTACTTATTACATTACATTAATAAAATTAATAGAAAATGTATTACTTTTGTAAGTTTTTCAGAAGATAAAACAACAGCATTTGTAGAGGATTTTTCATTGCCTTCTTTTTCAATGTGCAAGTACGAGGATCTCTTAATGGACGTTCACATGGAGCTAATTCATCTAAATGTTGATATTTTGTTGGTGGTTCTTGATCATGATCTTGTGTATCAGCACTATCTTGACTGGTATCATGATCCCTTTTCTTCTTATCATGATGGAAAGTCATAAACTGAAAATGTATATGTAGAAATTTTAAATATGCTTACATAAATATTATCATCATTCTCACAATTTTTGAGTGGATGGAAAAAATAAGATGTAATATAGAAACACACATGTCTCTTTTTAAATAATTAATGGAATTATAACTTTAAAATGCTATTTTCCTGAAAATATATTGTTAATTTTGAATAATGAACAGTAAAAACTTTTACCAACAGCACNTTAATCATTTAAAAAATTAAATCACAGCTGCCAATAATTTTCAATTATAATTTGAATGTTAATTAAATGTGTAAGTTTAATAGCACATCATTTAAATTTAACATGCACATTCCAATAAGTACAGATTAACATTAAACATTTAAAAACACATGCACTCCAATTAGAACATATTAATATTAAATTTCATATCAACGTTCTAAAATTTGTTTTTGTTTGGCCTGAAGAAAACATTCTATACATGTCAAAAGTGCTTGTGAGATATTTTGTATTTATTTTGTATTTTACTCATCAAAACCTTATTAACGCCAATAGACAGAGCTTTTAAATTTTTATATAAACATTATATTTGTATTTTTCTTTTGTTATTGCTTTAAGGGTCTTTTCATTATTTTTGTTTTTTTAATTTGGATTTAAGAATGATGATGATTTTCTGATGTATTTGCATTTTTCATACACAATCTATTATCTATTGTTATGAAATTTAAAACATTTCAGCTTTGTTTTAAATAAAACAATTTTTTTGCTTTAATATTTGTTTATGTATGTAAAGCTCCTTGTTTATTTAACCTGATTTACTTATTCAGACTGCAGTGAATTATATTATCTCTAGCTTTATTAGCCATAAAGTAAAAAACAAATAAGAGCAACATCATCAGAAAAGATTCACTGTAGATTAGTATTAGCAAAAAATTTTACATTTTATTTAAATCTAGTTGCAGATATATTCAAATAACCTAAATTAAACGGTAATAATCTAGATATAATACAACTTTAACAACAAATAATATATTAATACAGTAGAAAGTTTAACATATATACAACAAATTCTAATAAAAAGTATTTTAACTTCTACAAAAATTTTTTTAGATATATTATATCCAAAAATAAACAAACTATTATAACTTATTGTGATACAGATCAAATATAACTAAGATCGGTCTGTCCCAAATAAACTGCATATATCAGTGTTCAATTCCAAATGTCTGACTTCAAGATTCACTTCATTAAAAACACTTGCGTAATGTTTCTTATGTATTAAAACAATTTTGTGTTTACTTGTCAGATCATTTTTTACTTAAATTTATAAAATTAAATAATGTATAGAAACTAAATTATTGGACTTTTATTTTCAATTATTTTATTAGACTATGTGAAGTCAAAACTATTTTATGATTAATATTAAAAGGAAAATATGTGAAAATACTTACAAACATATAATTATGTATGAAAATCCAGATTTAACGAAAAATAATAATCAAATTGTGAAAACAAAAATTTACTTAGTAATACAAAAGGCCGTAATAAGTGCACAGGCATTCTATTTAATCATAACAACTGTTTACCTTTCTTTCATGACCATGTTCTCTATGGTGATGGTGGTGATGATGCTTCCGTTTTTTATCATGCTTTATTTTTTCCTTCTCGCTTGACTTCTTCTTCTTCTTCTTTTTTGATTTTTTATGCTTCTCTGGTGAATAAGCACACATATCCCTTGGTTTCTCTTCAGTCAAATGAGGTATCTCAGACTGTGACGTAAAACTTTCCAAATGTTGAAACTGGGTCGAAGGAACAAGAGGTGGTGGTGCTGAAGGATGAGACTGGATCGGTGCCTGAACGCTGCTACTGTTTCCTCCGACTTTCAATACTAATTTTAATGGCTTTTCAGATCTGTCTGAAAATATTAAATTTTTATTATATATTTATATTTTTGAAAAGTACATGGATCTATAAGCTATGAAAACAGAAAATAATTACTAAATAATACTAAAGAGAATAGACAGATCTGGAAACCAACCAATTTTATTTATAGAAATATTCATAAAAACTACTGCAAAATTATTTGGAGTAATTCAAAGTAAAATGGAGTTATCACAGTAAATTAATAAGTAATAAAACTTAAAATAATATTTAATAAAGTACAGTAATACCCCAAACTTACGCGATAGGTGGGACCGAACGATAACCGCGTAAGTCGGGGTATAATTTCGCAATTTGTGTAAAATCCAAGTCGGATGATGTAAGCTAATATATGTTCTCGTTAACCTTATCTTGCCTTTTGATTCGTTCACGGTTACAAGAAATCACCACATAGAGTCTCTCAAGTATCCGTAGATATAACAAACACAGAAATAAATAACACAAAATAAATTGTAGCTATGCGTCGATTCTGCGCAGCACGTCCGAACATGTAAGGTAAACAATAGTGTGGGGGAGTGAGTAATCAAGAGTTGCGTGGCGTTCAAACAAAAGACGAATCGACGAGATTTGAAAATCGCGTAATTCCAGGTTTGCGTAAGTCGGGGTAGCATAAGTCGAGGTATCACTGTATAAAAATAAAAATAAATTTACAATTCTTCTGAAAACTTTCTCCATTTTTATGTAATGACAGAACTGAAGATAAATTCTAAATATTTTCAGATCTAGGTATGCAAAAAGACTTGCAGGCACTACAAAATTATTTTAAAGCAGATTACTTGTGTATACAAGCAAAATATCAATCAGAGTATTGATAAGACAAACTTAAACCAAAACTAAATGATTGCTGTATTGAATAGGGTTACTTTATTGCTATTATTATTAATTAAATGCTTTAAATGCTAAATTAAATGTTAATTTGGTAACTTGAGTAACTAAAGGTAGGTAAGTGCCTAATGTCTACCTCTAGTACCAAATTACTCAGCATTTAATAAATAACAGTAATGATAAAGTAGCTTGATTCAATACAGTAATAATTTGGTTTATGTTTAAACATTGGACTTTGAGATGTTTGTATATATTGTGTGTGTGTGTGTGTGTGTATTCAACTGATTAATTTATTAATTTTTAATTAATTAACAATATTTGAGATGTTAAGTAATGTTAATTTTTAAAAAGTATCAGTTAGTTTACAGTATTGGTGTTGGTTCTCACTGGACACTTGTTGATTACCTGCAGTTTATTTACATTATTATTAATTAACAAAAACAGTGTTTTGTGTAAGTAGCCATATTCTGTTTGTTTAATAAACTACATCAGTTACATGGCATTTGGCATATAATACAGAAATATATAAACCTCGCCTAAGTCGAAATTTAATCATTTGAAGTTGCAAATATTTCATCCCCTGAATTTCAAACTAACAAAGGGTTTTCTGTAATTGTATTTTTATAAATACACCACACTAACCTTATAATGCTTTGCAGTTATTTTGGAACATAACACAAACGTTTTTGGTCCACCTTAGGACCTTCTTCGGGTGGAGTTCTAGAAAAAACTTTTCTGGTGTGTTTAGTGTTCCATTCAGTCCTAGGGTGGACCGAAAACATCTACGTTACGTTCCAAAATAACTGCAAATCATTATAAGGTTAGTGTGGTATATTTATAATTAACACTTTGTTTAGAGTTGTTTAGAATTAAAAAATTCAAATATGTAATTCTTTAATTGTATTTCTACAGTATGCAGTATTTTTACAAATGTCATCTAAATGACATTTGTAAAATAAAATTTTCACAGAACCATCTAGAAGGGTTTTCAATCATTACACCTGTGGAATGAATCTTTCATCCTTGTATAACGTGAGGACTGCAATTGTTTATTCATCTGGGAAACATCATTTATTGAGAAATTCGAGCCCCATTCTAGAGCTCCCTAAAATATGGGTTTCATTATTTAATCATTTAAAAAATTAAATCACAGCTGCCAATAATTTTCAATTATAATTTGAATGTTAATTAAATGTGTAAGTTTAATAGCACATCATTTAAATTTAACATGCACATTCCAATAAGTACAGATTAACATTAAACATTTAAAAACACATGCACTCCAATTAGAACATATTAATATTAAATTTCATATCAACGTTCTAAAATTTGTTTTTGTTTGGCCTGAAGAAAACATTCTATACATGTCAAAAGTGCTTGTGAGATATTTTGTATTTATTTTGTATTTTACTCATCAAAACCTTATTAACGCCAATAGACAGAGCTTTTAAATTTTTATATAAACATTATATTTGTATTTTTCTTTTGTTATTGCTTTAAGGGTCTTTTCATTATTTTTGTTTTTTTAATTTGGGGGAATAAATCAAATATTCTAATGACACTTCCTATTGCATATGTAAAATAAAATAAATAAATAAATTTTTGTAGTGACTGTTATGGTGCATATGTGCATATCTATGAGATATGAATTTGAAATGCAAAACAAATTTTTAATTTTACTATTTAAATTTTCATTAATTATTTGCAAATTTTAAATTCAAAAGTGATAATAAATATTAAATATCTTAACTTTAATTTTGATCTTAAAAATGACAGTAATAGCAGAATAGTAGGATAGAAATAGCAAAACAATACTGTAAAATTAATTACATATCAAAAATATAGATTCTAATGCATGGGTGGCCAACAGTTTTTGCCCCAGGCCCAGATTGGAAAAAAAACCTTTTTCCACAGGCCGAACCAGAAAGATTTTGGTTCAGCCTGTGGACACAGGCTGCCCTAGGAAGATTCTGAGGTGGTGCAAGATCTCATTGTGGTGTCACCTCGTAGAGACTGAATTGTAGATAGAGATTGTAGATACATTTTTCACATTATCATGCTTTATCAACACTCTATGCTGTACTTAAGAAATTTGTAGTAATGGAGAATTAACTCTAAACGCACAGTGAGTTGTTGACCTCTTTTTTTTTTTTAGGCATCAGAATTTTTCATTGAGCTATTCAGACTTCAATATTTAATATTGAAAGATTGATTGCAGGCCACATAAATTCATTAGACGGGACGGGTCTGGCCCGTGGGCCATATGTTGGCCATGCCTGTTCTAATGTGTAATTAATTTAAAATTAAGAGCATTCTAGTAGTGACTCCCACATAGTTTATTATTTGATTGTTTGACAGACGCCTTAAAAGAACTGCATAGATCCTGGATTGAGTCAGTTGGATATAAAATCCAATTGACTCAATAACCTAGAAATCAGCAAAATTTCACTTACTAGACAAGCAGATGTTTTCATCCACTTTCAGGACATCTTCAGGCTGAAGATCAAATTTTAACCACACAATTTTCAAATGATCCGAAACTAATGTGTTGTTGACCACTGATTGGTGGAGATGTTTCAAATGATGCACAAAGGACACTTTTTTTAACATTGCATTTGAAATATGTGGGTGGCTGATGATTGGAAGAGACAGTCCCCCATACATACTTGCATATATGCTGATTTCTAAGGGATTGGAGGCAAACTTTCCATGCATTGGAGAATGTGTAATCATCCTTGGAGTTGACAGTCCTGAGTGAAGTTGATCATCCTCTCTTTATATCTCCAACAGTTCAAGGTAGCAGAGTTGTGCTCTGTTGGGCATTCCTTGGAGGATTCTGCTCCTATCCAAATGAACTTACACTTAGATTGGATCCATTTGTGGAAAGTTGGCCTCCACTCCCCTTAAACATTGGCATACACATGAGCATGTATGGGGACTGTCTTCTCCAATCAGCAGCTGCCAGATGTTTCAAATAATGTGTTTGAAACATCTGGGTTTCAAATACATCGTTTGAAAAAGCGTCCTTTGTGCATCATTCAAAACATCCCCAATCAGCAGGCAACAACACATTAGTTTCAATCATTCAAAAATTGTGTGGTTACAATTCGATCTACATCCTGAAGATGTCCAATTGAAAATGGATGAAAACATTTGCTTGTCTAGTAAGTGAAAATTTGCTGGTTTCTAGGTTATTGAATCAGTTGGGTTTTTACACATTAACCAGAATTCAGCAGTCATCTGTTAACATGGATATTTTTGTGTATAAGGAGACAATCTTGATTGTTGGAAAGGATACATCTAATAAATGGGGAGGTGAATAGCTCCTGTCTATTTATAAAGTTAAGACACATGAAGCTAATAGTCCTTTAGATCCTTAGTTAATAGGTGATCCCAACTCTATATCATAGAGCGGTAAACAACAAGTCCTACAACTTTTTCGACACCAGTTGGAAATTTAATATAAACAGACTAGCATTTTTGATTGCAAACTGGATCTTTGTCAGATCAATTATTTGATAATTAATTGACCTGACAATGATCCAGTTTACAATTGAAAACATTAGTCTGTTGATATTAAATTTTCAACTGGTGTCGAAAAAGTTCTGTGTGGTTTTGTGTTTATGAATATTACCCAGTTATAGTGTGTACTAGAATGGTTGCAGGCTAAAATTAATTACATTTTCAAATTTAAAATTTAATCTGAAGTTTAATGTACCATACACACAATTAAAAGTAAACTGAAAGAGTAATACTTTTTTGAATTATTAATACTACTAAGAAATAATATTAAAACACCTTACAAGTATACTTTGGATTTGAGAATGCCAGAATTACTTATTTTAAATTTCTTTAGTATTCTGTGCATAATTTTATATTTTTTATACTGTATTACAGAAATCTTTTAAAAAATATATATATAATGTTGATTTATATAATAATAATCTTTGTAATAAATTTTTAAATTTTTAAGCTTTTATGGAAAAAGAAAAAATATATAAGTAATTTTCCATTTGTGTTTAACTATTAAGCAGGTGTGTAAACAAGGTAAATAGTGTATTTACTTTGCTAACAATCTGTAAAACTGCACTGTCATCTTTTTTTAATTAATGCTGCAAGGACCAAAATATCAGTGAAAACTCTTACTCT